GAAACCTTGATTTCAGGCCACTGTCAGACTGAAGCTCGATTATCTCCATCTGAAGGTGATGGGGCACATTGTTGACATCAACTGTAAAAGGATTGGCAAAGATGTCAAAGCCTGAGTGCTGTGTTCTAAAGTCAGAGAAGCGCCGCTCAAATTCACTTAGTAAACGGCTAACTTTGGTAGCCAGCCGACTGCAAGGAAAAGTACCAGAAATAGTGGTTGAGATACTCAAACAAACGGGAAAGTGGGCAAGATTGTCCTGTTCCAGTTGGGACTTCCATAGTTGAAGTTTACGCTGGAATGCTGTGATCATGTCAGACATCTTCGTGATGACTTGTTTGCGTCCCTGCAGCTTCAGATTCAGTTGGGCGAGATGCTCGCATATGTCACACATCATAGCAAAATCACATAGCCAGGCGGGATCCGACAGTTCAGGCAAGGGCTTTCCTTTACTTTCCATGAAAAGAGCAATTTGTTCTCTGAGCTCAAAAAATCTTTTGAGGACTGCGCTCTTGCTCAGCCATCTTACTTCTGTGTGGTATGGCACGTCTCCATGCTCTGCACCCACCTCCTGTAAAAACTGCTGGAACTGGCGATGATTCAGGCCACGTGCCCGTATAAAGTTAATAGTTTTAATGACTGTGGTCATTATGTCATTCATGTCCAGAACTTTTCCACACATAGCCTCTTGGTGGATAATGCAATGATAAGTAATCAAGGGTGTGTGGCAGTGACTTTTTTGCATTCTTTCCTTCATTAGTCCAACCAAGCCTTTCTTTTCTCCGCACATTGAAGGTGTGCCATCGGTAGTTAGCCCCACCAACTTTTCCCAGGGTAATTTAAAATTATTTATAGATTTCTCCACAGCCTCAAATATATCTCTACCAGTCGTCGTCCCATGCATGGCAGCTACATCCAAAAGTTCCTCAGTGACAGAGGTCGGTCTTCGTAGCACGTATAAAGATGGACAGCTGCGCTGTATCAGTGTTGTCTGTGCTTTCATCGATAGCAAGTGAAAAAGCGAGATAACTGCATGCCTGTTCGGCCAGCTGTGATGATAAATTTCCTGAGAGTTCTTGAACTCTATCTGCAATGGTGTTTCTTGACAAACTGACATTTTGAAAACTCTGTATCTGGTCTGGGCATACTTGCTCACACACTTTTAGCATGCATTGCTTCAAAAAGGCACCCTCTGAAAAACACCTTGAAGTACGGGCAATTTCTTCAGCCACTATAAAGCTTGCTTTCACTGCAGCATCATTTTTCGCTGTAGCCTTTGTAAACATTTGCTGCTGTGATTGTAGTTTGCCTTTTAGTTCTTTAACAATTTTATGCTTTTCTTCCAAAGTATATTTGCCATACTTAAAATTATGTTTGGTGTCAAAATGACGACATATATTGTACTCTTTCATCATCGACACTGTCTCATAACACAATATACACACTGGTTTGCCCTCTCTATGCACAAACATGTATTCATTTTCCCATTTGTCATTAAATTGTCTGCCTTCACCGTCAACTTTTCTTTTCCTGGACATTTTGGGATCAATATTGGCAGTAAAAGATGTAGTTTATTGGAAATCTGTGTTAGAAGGAAAAAGTTGAAAACTGCACAGGGATAGCTTGATTTGGCAGATGGAGTGGAGAAAAAAAAAGTCAGTCAATAAATGCCTGGCTGGGTACAGATAGCAGATTCTGTTGCGATTTTTATGCCTGCACTTTATGCCAGGAACTGGCAGCTTCTGCTGTGTATTTTTTATGCCCGCACACTCACTCTCTCCTCTGCTCTGCCACCCGCACAACCACATGGGATGCCAGACTATAGGTCACGCCTCCTGAATCTCGCGTGACTTGTTATCTATGCGCATGCGTAATAGATAGCAAGTATGGGGGCCGGCGAGGCGGCCTGCGAGATCACAAGCCTCCTATGTCACTGCGTGTCATTGTGATGGAACGCAGTGGAGTGCAGTGATGACAGCGCGGTGCGGGCCACACTGCAAGGCCTGGCGGGCCGGATTTGGCCGGCGGGCTGGATTTGGCCCGCGGGCCTTGTGTTTGACATGTGTGCTCTATCCACTGAGCCAAACCGGTCAGGGCCCCAATGTCTTTTTGTGAGTGGATTTTTTCACTTAACATAATGTCCTCAAGGCTTAGTGGGTGTGGCACAGTGGACTGAGTGTTCTCCTGACACCAAGAGGCTGCTGGGGCACATTCCTGGGTTGCAGGGCTCAATCCCCAGTAGGGGGCATGCAGATCCATGTTTCTATTTCTCTCTAAAATAAATAAGAACATTTTTCTTTTTTAAATTTCATCCAAACTCTAGCCGCTTTGGCTTAGTGAATAGAGTGCCAGCCTGTAGACTGAAGGGTCCCAGGTTGATTCTGGCCAAGGGCACATGCCCAGGGTGTGGTCTCCATCCCTAGTAGGGGGTGTGCAGGAAGCAGCCAATCAATGATTCTTTCCCATCACTGATGTTTCTATCTCTCTCCTCTCTTCCTCTCTGAAATCAATAAAAATATATTTTAAAAAATAAACAAAAAAGTTTATCCATGATATAACATATGTCAGAACTTCCTTTTTTAAGGCTGAACAATATTTATATGTATAGGGTATCCCCCCAAAATGTATACATACACTTTAAATAATTACTAATTCCAATGGGTTAAATCTGAAAAGAAAGAAATATCAATTGAGCTATCAACTGTAAAGTATACATACATTTTTTTAGGACACCCTGTATACACACACACACACACACACACACACTCACTCTCTCACACCACATTTTGTTTATCCATTCATCTATCAATGGACATTTGGGTGCTTTCCACATTTTGGCTGTTATGAATAATGTTGCCATGAACATGAGTGTGCCAATATCTGTTCAAATCCCTGCTTTCAATTCTTTGGGGTATATACCCAGAAGTGGAATTGCTGGATCATATAATAACTCTATGTTTAATTTTTGGAGGAACTTCCAGACTGCTTTTCTATAATGACTGTATTCTTGCCAACACTTGTTATTTCCTGCTTTTTAAAAATAATAGCCATTCTAATGGGTATCTAAGCCAGGACTTTTAAAATTAAATAGAATATAATCTTATCTAATAAAGAGGGAATATGCTAATTGACTCCTCTATGTCATTGCAAAGATGGTGGCACCCACAGCCAATAAGGAGGGAATATGCTAACTGACTGCCCTACCCTCAAAGATACGACGCCCACAGCCACAAGATGGTGGTACCTGGTACCTACAGCCCGGCTGGGGGTGCCTGCCTCTGTAGTACCCAGTCCCCACAGCCGCCCAGGGCCGGCCCGAGGTGTGGTCAAGCCTTGGATGGCGGGTGCCCAGGGCCATCCGAGGCTCAGGTAACAGGGCTGGTCAAGGCTTGCGCTGCCGGCAGTGGCAGTAGCAGAGGTATGATGGGGTGTTGCCTTCCCCTATTGCCAGGTCACCTCCCACCCCTGAGAGCTCCCGGACTGTGAGAGGGGGCAGGCCGGGCTGAGGGACTTTTCATGCACCCGGCCCCTAGTAAAACATAAGAATGTATCAAACATAGAGCAAGAATTGTTAGTAAAACTGGTTTCATCTTGGGTTATGTGGACTAGATCAGGATGTGAAATGTGTTTCTTACTCTCGGCCACAGTGCGAAAGACCCTAAATTATCTACATGCCCACCAAATGGCTATTTTGTCTTACCTCTAAGCTTTAGTAGTGCTGATCCCTCCACTGGGACACTTCTCCCGTTCCCCTGGCTGACCTCACTCATTCCACAGATGTTTGCTTAATGCCACCTCCTCTGAGAAGCCCTCCGAGAACTGTGTCCTCTACTTTCGTTTTTATAAATTTTTTATTGTTGAAAGTATTACTTATGTCCCTTCCGCCCCCACACTGTCTTTACAGAACTTACCAGAGATTAATTATATGTTTTTAATTGTATGTTAAATACCTCTCTTTCACTAGACTGTGAACTCAAATTATCTTGCTCATGCGTAATCATAGTGAGGTAGTTAACACTGGCTTTTGGAACCCAACTGCATAGGTTCAAATTCTCACTTGTCACCAGCTACATGATGTTGGGCAAATTAATTAACTTCTCTGAGCCTTATGGCACCTACTTCACAGGGTTGTTGTAAAACTTAAATTAGGTTAATATGTATAAAGCACTTAGAAAAGGATAGTAGGATAGTCCCAGAGAGGGCTGAAAGGATGTGAGGTCCCCACCATCCTCAACACCTCAGCAGGACAGAGAAGTAAGGTGCTGCCGGTTCTAGTTGGATTAGATTCAGCCTTAGGACAAGCCTGGCCTGAAGTGGAAGCACAGAGGGCACTGGCACCCAGTTCCTAGCGCAGAGTAGACACCCAGCGCGCCTGATGGAACAGGCCTATAGGGTGTCCAGGGAGTGGGGCCTAAGCGCTCGGTGGACACTCGTGAGGTCGTAGCATTACATATGGAAAAGAACTAAACTTAAGCGACAAGGCCGCCCCTTGCTGGAGAGTGTCTCGCAAGCCCATTCGTCAGTAAAGTGAACAGCCAATAGGCAAAGCGCTCTGGCCTCGACTCCGCCCCGCGCAAGCGCACTCACGATCGCCGGCAGGTCTTCCGGCCGCAGCTCCCCCTTGCGCTGCTCCAGGGTGCGGGAGGCTTCTTCCGGGCGCGCGCACAGCTGCTCCACGTCCAGGTGAGGGAGCGCGCTGTAGCCCTCGCGTGCATGTTCGTACAAGAGGTTCCGATCTTGTCTCTCGGTTGCGAAACTTCTTGGCCTCTGGCTGCAGACACAACCTCCACGGGGCTGGAGCCCTCGGCGGGCCACCACCGGCCACCAGCGCCGCGCTACAGACGCAGCCATCTTGACCAGGGGACAAGGCGACACACACCCTTCGTCCCGCCTACTCCGCGTTTGCACCAATGGCGAAGCAGCCGTGCTCCAGCGGACGAGTCATGCAGACCTCGGGAGAGGTCACCTCTTCCGAATCTCAAAAGCGGTGCAATGAGAGAAGTTGACCGAAATTGACTCAGCCGTTGCCCAATCGCAGTCTTTGCCCCGCCCCTCCAGTGTGAGAGGCTGGACCTGCCAGGCCGCCCGCCGGAAGTGACGAGAGGCTGTGCTCAGCGTGTCGGTGGGCCCTGCTGGGGTCGGTGAGGTCGGGTGAAGTCCGGGGTCCGCCAAACTTCCCCGGTTCTCTCCTGTTTCCCCTCTACTCCGGTGTGCGGGCGGGACGGCTGGGTCCCCAAGAGCCTACCGAGGCGAGGCGTCGGAGGAAATTGTTTAGTTTAACCACAAGGTCCCGAGGGCGGGAAGGGGGTGGTTGCCCGACTGCGGCCACTTCCCTCCTCGTTTCTGAGTCTCTTATCCCCTAACACAGGGACGCTGCAGGCGGCAGGATGTCGTGGTCCGGCCTTCTCCGGGGCCTCAACCTGTCCCTGAGTTACAGTAAGTGGGGGTCTTGGGCTACAAAGTCGAGGCTGGATGAGGGACTTCTGTGCCTCGGCCACAGACCCAAGGGAATCAGGGTTTTGAATCAAGGGTGGTTGGGCGATGGGTTTTGGCGGAGCTCGGGTGCAAAAGCAAGATGTGAGAAGTAGTTGCATTAAGGGCTACTTAATGCCAAGTGAGTAGTGGGAGTTTGGGTCAATTATTTCTTCAGTAACCACTGTACTTACTAAATACCACCGTGGTTTACACTTCTTAGCAAGGCGTTTAACTCATTCATTCAGCTGGTATTTTTCAATAACCTTATATGTGCCAGGCCCCGAGGGGGATGCTATAATTATGAACTTACTCTCTTAACAAATATTAAACGCTTCTTATGGCCCTTTGTGAGGTATTTCATCCACTTATTCACTATGCAAACCTTTAGTAAGCACCTTCTGTTTGCCACTTACCAAGGATCACAAGGCTGTGTAAGACCGGCCTGCACCCTGCCTGGGGAATCAGGGCTAGCTTGGCATGATAACCTCTCACACACCGTGTTCGGGAGGAAGGCATGATCATCAAGGACACCGAGACACTGAGTGGCAAGGAGTCTTTTTTATTTTTAGAGAGAGGGGAGCATCTATGTGAGAGTAACATTTGATCGGCTGCCTCCTGCATACTGCCTACCCAGAATCAAGCCCAAAACCCAGGCATGTGCTCTGACCAGGAATCGAACCAGCAACCTTTTGGTTCATGGGACCACACCCAACTGACAGCCACACCAGTCTTGCAGAAGGGCACACCACGAGGAAGAGATTTCTAGGAATGTTTCATCCCCTTTGAAGTTGTGCTGTAACTTGAGACAAAGGAGAGGTGGAGATGGACAGTAGGCCAGGACCTGCTTTCGATGTGGAGGAGTGAAATTGGGTGTGAAAGGGCATCCATCTAGTGACAGGGGAAAGAATGGACTTAAAATCCTGGACCGGGAACTCTTAAGAGGACATGGTCCAGGGCTGTCTCAGTCACGACTGTGTCTCCATTGTTGGGGACAAGAAACAGTGGATGCTCAGTGAATGTTTGTTGGAGAGAATCCAGTTCTGAGTCTTGCGTCCTACATTTTATCCATTGGCAAATCCTATGGGTTTGTCTTGGAAATAGATTCTTCCCCACCTGCCTTTCCTCTTATTACAGAGCAGCTACCCTGTCTTTCTGTTGAGGTGTTTGGGGACACAGGCTGCAGCTGGGGGAGCAAGGGGGTGAGTGAGGTGAGGTAAGGGAAGACCGGGGCAGCCCCTGCTGGGCCTTCTGGGAGGACTTGGACTCTAGTGAGTGAGAGGGCCCCACAGGAGGGCTCTGCGCAGGGGAAGGATGATCTGATCCAGGTGGCACGGGGACCCTCTGCCTACATGTTGGGGCAGGTAGTGGGAGTGGGAAGACCTGTGAGGAGAAGAGGGTGGACAGGAGTGGGTGTAGTGGAGGAGAGAGGGTGTGTTTGAAAGTTCTGCTGACAGGATCTGCTTACAGGGCAGATGGGTGTGACCAGAGGAGTGACACCTTCCTGGAATACCCCCTAGTTGCCGTGGGAATGGCATGAGGTAATGGTGTGATGCATAGAACAAGATTCAAGCATTGTGAGCCCGCTGGCTTTTATTCTCTTTAAGCAGCATTACAATTAATACCTTTCTTACAGAATGAGTTAATTCATGTAAAATGCTTAAAAGAGAACCTGACATATGGTGATTGCTTAGTAAACTTTTGTTGTTATTGTCCCCTGAGTTCCCCAAGATGTAAACAGGCATCTAATAAAGGGCTTGGAACGGTGTCTAGAACCCCCGAACTGAGCTGTTGTTCATTGAGATAATAACCCCACTTTGCCCTCCTGGGTTGTGTCTTTCCAGGTCTAGCCCAGGTCCCCCAGCTCTGGGCCACCCGCCCCATGGCCACCCTGAATCAGATGCACCGTCGGGGGCCTCCGAAGTGGCCGCCTCGAAAGCTGGGTCCCACAGAAGGCCGGCCGCAGCTGAAGGGCGTGGTGCTACGCACATTCATTCGTAAACCCAAGAAGCCCAACTCGGCCAACCGCAAGTGCTGCCGCGTGCGGCTCAGCACCGGCCGAGAGGCCGTCTGCTTCATTCCGGGGGAGGGCCACACCCTGCAGGAGCACCACATTGTGCTGGTGCAAGGCGGGCGCACCCAGGACCTGCCCGGTGTCAAGCTCAAGGTTGTGCGTGGCAAGTACGACTGTGGCCATGTGCAGAAGAAGAAGTGACCGCCGGGGCATGGTGGGCTGGGGTTACGTCGGACAAGAACCCCTGTCTCTGGGTTCCTGCAGTATCCTTGGGAAGCGAGGCCAGTTCTAGAAGCGGCTGGCCCTGGTTCACATCCTGGCTCCTCTTCCACCAGAACCATCAGTAGCCCACAGGGGTCCCGGGTGTGAATTAGAAAAGGCCGACATCCTTGGTGCAAGAGGCTTCTGCTGGGTCAGTACACTATTCCATCTGATGAGAAGGGGTTGCAATAAACACACAGACTGGTTGGACGTGTGCACCTTGCCTGGTATTCACCCTCTGTGTGGTCTCGGCAGCTGGCAAGCCCTCTGGGCCTGTTTCGTCTACTCAGAGCATCCGCTTTGTTGGGTTTGGTGAGGATTAGACACGATGAACAAAGCACGTGTGCATGGCTACTCTGTTTTGAGGTTTGGAGTTTGGTGGTAGCACTGAGACCCAGTTCCCCTTCCTGCAGGCCCGGTGCCTGGGCAAGGAAAGGCTGCCCTCAAGCTTCCTCCTGAGAATGGAAGTCATTGTGGTGGTGGTGAAAGGTGTTGAGAAAGGATTGATTAGGGACGGGAGGGCACTGCTGCCCACACGGGAGCTCCTCTTCTGTGTTCTCAGAATCACACCCCTGGGTCCACATCACACCTTGACCTCTTGGTTCGGTGACGGGGTTTATTTGTCCCCCCAGCACCTCCGGACTTGTTTTCATCCCTTGGGAAATGGACCTGAAAGTAATACTGCCCTCATCTGATCGTATGGTTGGCCATGTTAGGTTTTAAGATTGGGAGCTGAGCTTCTATCCTTGGGCCCTGGAGCCCAACTCAGGTGCAAGCTCTGCCTCCCCTACGTACTGGCCAGGTGACCTTGGGCAGGTCGTTAAACTCCGAGCCCGTTTCCTCCTGGACTAAATGGTGGTGATAGTGGTGCCTACCTGAGTGTTGTTGGGAGAACTGCTGAGGACTGGCATCAGAGCTGCCTCTGTTTCCAGTACAGTACACCTAAAGCTCTCACAATTGAGAACATCCCACAAGACAAGTAAGTGCATTGATTACAGACAAGTCCCCCATCACCTCACATTTAGCACCGATTTTATTGAGTGAGTTTGGTGGCTTTGCCCACATTGGGAGAGTGGGAGACATGAGAGGAGTCGGGACAGGACTCCACGTCACTTAACTCCTCCTGGAGTTCGTATGCAGGTGGGTTTGACCGGAGAGAAGGAAGGTGTTGCCTCACAGGAGCCAAGCTGTCCCTGAGGCAGGGGCAGAGGTGTGGGTGAAGGGCACAGCACAGACCTGGCCTGAGGTTCTGTAAGAAACTGCCAGTCTAGCCCACGGGGTATGTGTGTGTGCTGATGGGGCGGTGCTGAACAAGGTTGCACAGGCCCCACAGCGGAATCCCAGAGACTCCCCAAAACAGCAGAAAGTTCCCTTCGGTGTTGGTCCCCTCAAGGGCAGGCTGTTCTGACGCCTCTGCTCCCAGCTAGCAATCAGCTTGCCCTGGAGAAATCATTGGCAATCCTGTTCGGCCTTTGTTTTTTTGACTCAGTCTATCAGCTGACATCTGCACATGAGAAAACATTTTTTTTTTTTCCTTGAGAAAACAATTTGCAGGCAAATTAAGTCTTAGCTATTCCCTGAACCCCCTGGCTCAGGAAGCTGTGAACAGCCCAGTTGGAGACCTGGTTTCTTGAGCAGCATGTGGGCCGCCATTCGGAAGCAGTAGCACATGAGAGTTGCTGGAGGCGAGCGTGGATCCCCTGGCTCCTGGCTGCAAAGCTGCCCGTGGTTGGCAGTGATGTCGGGCTGGTGGTAGTAGGTCCTAAAAGGCCTGATCAGACTGGTGGGCTAGCCGCTAGGACAAGTGGATCCTGACTCTCACGGTGGAGTGGGTCACGAGGGCACCATAGTGTCCCACCCAGGAGCGTGTGTCTCTCCCGTACTGCTCAAAAGACACGTATCGGATGCCTTTGCCAAAGTTGGTGAAGACGTGGGAGACCTGCATGGGGAAGGAGACCAAGAGGGTGAGGACTTGTGGGCCCTTCCTCCTCCATCAACTGATCAGATACTCCCTCAGATCAAGTAGTTGCTCTGGGGATTCATCAGTGAAAAGCAACACAAAGACCCTGCCTGATGGAGCTGACCATCTGGCAGGGGACGCAGACACTGAAGGTAGATGGGGTAAGAAACAGGGAATTCTGCAGGGGGGCAGGGTGTAAAGGCCCACTGAGGTGACATTTGAGCAGACACCTGTGGTGATATGGAGGGAGCGTGTTCCAGACAGGACCAGTCAGTGCAAAGGCCCTGAGTGTGACTGGAGCACAGTGGGGAAAATTAGGAAATGGGATCAAGGGGATAAAATTCACCTAACTGAACCGTTTTAAACTACAATTCAGCGTTTTTTAGTACATTCATGATGTTAGGCAACCATTACTGTAATTCTGGAACATTCCCTCACCTCAGCGGGACACACACACACACACACACACACACACACACACACACGGGACTTCATATCCATTAGTCATTACTTCTAATTCCTCCCTACCCTTAGACCCTGGCAACCACTAATCTGTTTTCTGTCTCTTGCTTTTTTTATTCTAGATATTTCATATAAATGCAAACATACATTATGTGGCCTTTTGCACCCGGCTACTTTCACTTAATATACTATTCCAAGATTCATCCATGTTGTAGCACGGATCTGTACCTCATTTCCTTCAATAGCAGCAAGACAGAAGTTTGGCTTTTACTCTGAGATGTAGCCATGGGAAGGTTACAATCGGGAGGCTGGTGATCTGACTCACTTCGTATTGGGATCTTTCTGGATGGTGAGTCTGTTCGGTGGTGGGAGATCAGGAGTGGAAATGACCACCTGAAAGTCTACTTTGATAACTGAGATGTGATGATTTTGACAGCATGGGCTTGGGTGTCATTCTGGGCTTGAATCAGACCCTGCACACCTTAGTCTGATTTTGGGCTAGTCACTTGACGGCCTGCACCTTAATTTTCTCACTGCTAGAATAGGGAGAATGCATTCCCAGCACCTAGATCAGCACACAGTAGGTGCTCAATAAATGCATGTTGGAAATGTAGGCTGTATTATGAAATGAATTAATAGGGAAGACTCTTGGGACAGGGCCTGGGATGTAATAATGGCCCACCCAATGGGAACCAAGCTGAGAACGAGCGTGAGAAGTTAGGTTTGGCTGGACTCACCTGTCGGTAGCCTCTCTCAGTCCACTGCAGGACCGGGTTGGGTGAGGCCGAGAACTTGACCACTTCATTTTCGTACACGTCCAGGAGGCGGACCCGGAGCCGGTAGATGCAGCCGCAGTTCTCTCGGGCGCCCCACCTGCCAGGTGGGGGTGAGCGTTGATGTCTCTGCCATCCACCCAATCTCGGGGTTGGGAGGCTGAGGGTTGGGCCTCCCTGCACTTTGATATGGGTTGCACACCCCCACGCCCCATATGTAGAGGTGTCAGCCGGGATTCTGGGGGAAAGCGCCTGGGTACTCTGGGCCTCCTGGGGTGGGTTCTGTAGACCTTTGCTCAGGTGAGGGGGGGAGGGGTGTCGAGTTTGATGCTCTGGGGAGAAATGACAACCTAGGAGAGGAGTAGCCCCCAGTATTTCTGGAGAGGAGCCAGAGGGAGAAATCTGGATACTCTTAGGATGAGTCAGGACTCCAGGGAAGAAATTGGGTTTTCTATGGAGAAGCAAGAGATGGAGGGAAGAGGAGTCCGAGAGCTTGTGAAAGAGCCTGGGTGCTGTGGAGAAGAGGGTCTTATCGTAGGCCCACAGGTTCTGAAGCCAGCCAGTGCCTCTGGCCCGACTCTGCCCTTTCTGAGCCCGTTTTCATGGCACAATGCTCTCCACTTTTCTGAAGCCTTGGTGTCCACAAGCCCTTGGGGTCAGGGCAGAGTTGCAGGTGGTAGAGTTGGTGGGTAAGGGGAGATACCTGTTTTAGATCGGACCAAGCCAGTCAGTGGCTCCCGTGCCACCCCCAGGCATGCTGGGAAGAAGGTGGGGAAGAGTGCAGCATGGGGGCTCTGGGCTCACCAGGGCTCTGCCCTCCCTGGCTCAGCAACCACGAGAACATCACTTCCCTGCCAGTCTCACTGTGAAGGGGCACCGCAGCAGTGGCCAGCCCATGGATCGATGGGCTGGGAAACGAACCTCTTGCAGAACTGCTGCTGTCACCATTGGTTCTGGGGGCAGGTTGTCATTCTTCACTCACCAGTCAGCCACACAGATCTCAATCTGGGCGCTGTCCAGCAGCTCCTGCCACACCCCCTCCATCACCAAGTCCACAAGCTGCCTCTTGAAGCACCATCTGGGAAGGGGAGATGGTGGGTGTAGAGCTGACAGGCACAGCCCAGAAATCACCTCCTTCCTGAAGCCTCTGACAGCGCTGTCAAGGCAGCCCCTCAGGGTTTGTTCTCTAGACAAGATGGATGATGGGCTGGGCAGCCCCTTTGACCTCCCACATCCCTCCACCATTTTCCACTGCCCTGAGCTCCAGGAGGCTGGCCTGGCTGCAGGCCTGCCCCTAATATTTGTGGGAACCTGGACATGAGTACCAAGGCAGGCCCACATTGAGCAGGGAATTCTGGGTCTCTAAAGGGTGGGGCCCAAGGTCTGAGGTTGTGTTGATGTATGGACTGGCTCCCTTACCCTCTCTTTCCTGTTGGGTCAGTGAATGGGAAGCTCCAGCAGAAGACAGAGTGAGAGGAGAGAATAAAATCAGGATATTTATCCGCCTGGCTCCCTCCCAAGGATCACCTGGGACTGTTGTGTCTGTCAGTGACAGGGCACAGTTCCACAGTGCCCTCTCTTCACAGCCTTCTCTGCCCTGTTTCCATAACTGCTTCCTGCCTTTAACCCTGTCAGGCCCAGGGGTGGGAATGACCCTTCTCCCTACTGTTACTAGCCTGGGGGTCATGGGTTATACCTGTGGGCTGCCTACACCTTTGTAAATAGTCTTTCTTCCATCATTTGAATACTAGAGGAGGGGGTGTGTCTCAGCCCGGACTGCCCCGAAGTCTGTCCCGTGCCCGCCCGCCTGCCTGCCCTCTGTGGGCTGCGGTGCACGGATGCTGGGGCTCGTCGCTGGAGCTACACTGCCAGCATCCAGCACCCCGGCGGCTATGGGCACCGCTAATTTTTGAGGAGTGATGGTTAATTTTCATATTACCCTTTTATTAGCCGGGATGCCACAATATAGAAATAGTGTCATATGCTGGAAGAATTTCATAAATGATAGAGGCAGCACTGCCATTCCATGGGGAAGGGATGGTTTTTAGTAAATGGTGTTGGGGAAATGGGATCAGTATATGGAGAGAGGGGACTAGGTTCTTAACTAACACCACATTCGAAGGTGAATTAAAGGTCTAAATGTGAAAGATAAACTAAGAGTTTACTAGAAGAGAATATAACAATAGAGTGAGGAAGGCCTGGGGCAGGGGGCAGGGGTAGGTTAGAAGGGGTCACTGGGAGGTAAAAGGGGGTACAGTATATATAATAGTTTCAACAATAAAGATTTAGTTTAAAAAAGAATATAAGAATATTGTTAGAATTTAAGGATAAGAAGGATTTTTTCAAACAAAATTTCAAAAACAAACTCTAAAGGAAAAAAGGGAGAGATGAGTTTGATCACATGAAAATAACAACAAAGAACACCATGGGCACAAGTTAATACAGAGGGTAGAATGGGAGATTTTTGCAATGTCCAGGATAGACAAGAAACAGACACCTAGAACATACAAGGAATCTATATAGTAAAAGGGTAATATGCAAATTTGTCAGGATGCCCCCACATAACAACCAAACAGCAGGCTGCATGGGGGAACCAGGCCGGCAGGGGGGGCAGAGAGGGGCAACCTAATGACCAAACATCAGGCTATGGGGGGCGACCAGGCAGGCAGGGGGGCTGTATGGGGCGATCAGGCCAGCAGGGGGGAGGAGGGCACTGAGGGACGACAAGGTCAGCAGTGGTGGGGGCCAGTGAGGGGCGACCAGGCTGGCAGAGGGGGTAGTGAGGGGCAACCTGGTCGGTAGGGGGAGGCAATTATGGGCGATCAGGTGGGCAGGCAGGTGAGTGGTCTCTAGTCTATACCTATAAAAGCCTAAGCTACCATTATGATCTGACGACCGGCCAGTAGCTATAATATCACATGCACTGACCACCAGGGGGCAGATGCTCAATGCAGGAGCTGCCTCCTGGTGGTCAGTGCATTGCTATAGCCAACTTCCCTCGCCCGACTGGTCAACCTCCCGTGGTCCCTCCCCCCAGCCAGCCTGCCCCAATCAGTCCCAATCGCCAGCCAGGCCAAGGGACCCCACCCATTCACGAATTCGTGCACGAGGCTTCTAGTTCTTATATATCAACAAGAATAAGACATCAGCCTAGCCAGTGTGGCTAAGTGGTTGAGGGATGACATATGAACCAGGAAGCATGGTTTGATTCCCTGTCAGGGCACATACCCAGGTTGCCAGCTAATCCCCAGTGTGGGGCATGCAGGAGGCAGCTAATCAATGATTCTCTTTCATCATTGATGTTTCTCTCTCTTCCTCTCCCTTTGTCTCTGAAATCAATAAGAATACATCCTATATAATAAAAGGCTAATATGCAAATACACCACATGTGTCAAACACAAGGCCCGCGGGCCAAATCCGTCCCGCCAGGCCTTGCAATGTGGCCTGCACGGTGCTGTCATCACTGCACTCCGCTGCATTTCCATCACAATGACAGTTTATGACTGTTCAGTAAACCATTCGGCCCGCGATTTAGGCTGGATTTTAGATTTTGGCCCCTTCTCTGATTGAGTTCGACACCCCTAAAATAGACCAAATGGCAGAACAACCAGAACAGCCAAACACTTTGCTGCTATGATGTGCACTGACCACCAAGGGGCATGTGTGAAACATGGTGGGCATTGGCCATGGTGGGATGGTGGAGCTGGTGAGCAGGGGCACCAGACCAGGGCAGGGTGCCAGTCACTGTCATCGGAGCGAGCCTCTGGTCGTTACTGAAAATTCTTTGTTCCCGCGCACCGTGGTTGTGCCTGTGTTTGCACCTGCTACCAGTGCCAGCCCTGCTCACACTCATTGCCAGTACTGGCCCTGCTCGCACCCGAAGCTGGTGCTGGAGCCACCACTTGCATCTGCTTCTGGTGCCTGGCGCCGGTCCCGATTACTTGTTGCCATTGCTTGGTGCCGTCAGCAGGTGCCAGCAGCAGCTACCACCCCTGATCACCCCTGAGGGCTTCTCCACCTCTCTCTGTTCCTGAGGGGCAACTGGGCACCAGCACTGTTCACACCCACTGATGGTGCCGGCCCTGCTAGTACCCACTGCTGGCACTAGCCCCAATCGCCCCGTGCTGTCAGTAGGTGTGAGCGGGGCCAGCGCTGTCAGTGTGTGGGAGCGGCGGCAGCCAGAGAGGGCTGCTGGTAGACAGGGGACTAGGAACTGCAGAGGGAGGGGCTGGACAGGGGCATGGAGGATGGGCTGAGACCTGCCTCTGTGTCTACTGCAACCCTATGTCCCACAGTTCCTTTCAAGGTGCATGAATTCGTGCACTGGGCTGCTAGTCCTATATAATAAAGAGGGAATATGTAAATTGACTATCCTGTTGTCACAAAGATGGCGGCACCCACAGCCACAAGATGGCAACACCCAGTGCCCTCAACCCTGCCAGAGTTCCCCAATCCTTTCAGCCCCACCTGGGGGCATGGCCAGATCCGCCCTCAGTTCCCCAGCCCCCCAGGGCCGGCCTGAGGTATAGACAAGTCTCAGATGGAGGCTGTGCAGCTGCCCAGGGCTGCCTGAGGCTCAGGTAACCAGGGTCAGCTGGGGCTTGCGCTGGCGGCAGTGGCAGCAGCAGAAGTGTGATGGGGGTGTTGCCTTCTCCTGTCCCTGAGGGTTCCCAGACTGAGAGAGGGGGCAGGTCAGGCTGAGGGACCTCCCCCTCCAGTGCATGAATTTTCATGTACTGGGCCTCTAGTCCTATATAATAAAAGGGTAATATGTAAATTGACCTTAATAGCAGAATGACCAGAACAACCTCTGGACCAGTCACTAAGAGGTACACTGACCATGTCTTGGTCCCTTCCCCCGGCCGCTAGGCAGCTATCACCAAATGGCGAATGGGTAACTGGGGGTGGGTGGTGGTGGGGGGGGAGGAGCTGGCTGTGGGCAGCTGGGGAAGATGGCCCTGATCGCAGGCCAGGTCTAGGAACTGTACCCAGGCACGAATTTCGTGCATTAGGCCTCTTGTCCTATATAATAAAGAGGTAATATGCAAATTAACCCTCATGCCCTCACAGGATGGCTGCCTATGACCAGACCTGCAGGGAGGTTAGAGAAGGACAACCAAATGACTGAACAAGCAGGATGTGTGGGACAACCAGGCCTATAGGGGGGATAATGAGGGATGACCAGACGACTGAACAAGCAGGTTGTGTGGGGCGACCAGGCCAGCAGGAGGGGGGAGTTGGGGGGGCGATCTGGCCAGCAGTGGGGGGTAATTTGGAGCAAACAGGCAGGCAGGAAGGTGAGCAATTAGGAGCAAGTGGTCCAGGATTGTGAGAAGGTTGTCCGACCACCAGTTTAGGCAGTCGGACATCCCCCAAGGAGTTCCGGATTGGAGAGAGGGTAAGCTGGGTGGAGGGGCCCTCCACCTGTGCATGAATTTCATGCACTGGACCTCTAGTATATGTAAAACATCAGCCCTAAAAGAAAATATGAGCAAGCAATTTACAAAAGAGGGAAGACAAAAAGCTAATATGCATATGAAAAGATCCTTAATTATTAGTAAGTTGAAACATGCAAATTAAAATTAATACAGCAATGAGATATTACTTCACCCCTAATATACTATCAGCTACTAGAAAGCTGGATAATGCCATATGAGAATAGTTGATTATGGGAATAGGGGACAAAGAAATAGGTATGGGATATGCGGATAGAGAATCAACCAACAAATCAGACTGTCTTCAAGGCATTTATCACAACCAGAACCTCTGCAACCTGAGTTCAAATTCCAGCTGCACCATTTACTAGATGTTGTTACCTATGTGTGTTAGTTCCCCATTATAATGTGGAGCTAACAATATCATCTATGTTGCACAGTTGTTGTCAGGATTAGAGTTATATGTAAAGCATCTGATTGTTGTGTTGTTATTTTACCCTTTACTAGAGGCCTGGTGCATGAAATTCGTGCACTTGGGGGTCCTTAGCCCGGCCTGCGCCCTCTTGGTCCGGGAGCCCTTGGGGGATGTCTAGCTGCTGTGGAGGTGGGAGAGGCTCCCACCACTGCCTCTGTGCTCACCAGCTATGAGCCCGGCTTCTGGATGAGCGGCGCTCCCCCTATGGGAGCGCACTGATCACCGGGGACAGCTCCTGTGTTGAGCAGGATCAGGCTGAAAGCAGCTGTCCTACATCCCCTGAGGGTCCCAGATTGTGAGAGGGCATAGGCCAGGCCCAGGTACCCCACCAGCACATGATCAGGGCAGGGAGAGACACGGGAGGTTGGCCAGCCAAGGAGGGACCACAGGATGGCTCCAGGTTGTGTCCAGGACATCCCGAACTGCTGGACCCAGCAGCAAGCTAACCTACTGGTCAGAGCATCTGCCCCCTGGTGGTTAGTGCATATCATAACGAGCAGTTGATCTGTCTTAGCATAACATTAGCATATTACACTTTGATTGGTTGAATGGCTGACTGGACAGCTGGACACAGCATAGTAGTCTTTTATTAAATAGGATAGAATGTGTTTATTGTCTCCCGCCATCCTACATCTAAAATGCAAATGCAGTTCCCTTATCTTTCTGATTTTTTTTTGGATCTTGACATATAAAACAGTGCCTGAACACTGGCCGGTATGGCTCATTTGAGCATCCTCCCCTGCACCAAAGTGTTGCTAGTTCGATTCCTGGTCAGGCAACATGCCAGGGTTTCAGGCTAAATTCCTGGTGAGAGGCGTGCAGGAGGCAGCGGACCTGTTTCCCCGCACATCAATGTTTCTCGCCTTCTCTCCCTTTCCCTATCTCTCTAAAAATCGAAAATCTTTAAAAAGAAAAAAGTGCCTGGTACATAGCAGGCCCTCAACAAATTTGTTGAGGGGAGGGTGAAAGTGGGTGAGGATGAAGCCGGTGGGTGGGGCCGCACCCTTCTTGAAGCCCTTGCCACTCACTCGAAAGAAGTCACGAAACAGGTCTGGGAAGGAGCGCCCGGCACCAGGGTCAGGTTCTTTTCTATGGCCCAGCCGTTCCCGCCGTGTTCCACCTCCCAGCCTCTGAAGCCCTCTGCGGGATGCAACAGCGAAGAGGGATTAGCCCGCCCGCAGGCTTCTCTCCCGGCCCCGCCCTGGGCTCCTTCACCGGCCCGGCTCCCACCCCTCATTCACTGGCTCCCAGCGCCTCCGCTGGGCCGCCCACCCGCTGACGTCCTCCACGTGTCACAGCGCCTCACGCTTCCAGACGAGCTCCGCCGCCAACGCCTGCGGCTTCTCCTCCGCCTCCCACCACTCCTCTTCGGCCCGGCCCCTGGTCCCTTCTGCTTTTCTCACCCTTCCAGTTCTCTCCCTCCAGGCCCACGGCCTCTGGCTCCCCCTCCAGCCCCGCTTCCCAGCTCCACCCCGGCCTCGCCCACCCAGTTCCCGCAGAGCCTCCCTAAGCCCGGCCCTGACTCCCGGCCCCGCCCCAGTCCCAAACCCGGCCCCGCCCCCTTAGCCCGGCCCCGCCCCCTCACACCTCCCCGCGGTCCCCCGCCGCCCCGGCACCCACGCTCTCCGCAGGAGTTGAAGATGAGGTTCCGGCGGAGCGGCGCCCGCAGGCAGTAGCGCGCCAGGGCGCACAGCGGCAGGTCCTCCGCGTCCTCGCCGCTGGGCGGGCAGCGCTGGGCGGCGGCGTAGAGCGCGCGGCCCTCGGCGCTGCGGTCGCGGGCCAGCTGCAGCAGCCACACCGAGGGCCCGTCCACCACGGCGCGCCACGCGCGGCACACGGCGCGGCAGCGCGTCACCAGCGTGCGCGGCGGCAGGTGGCTCAGCACCTGCACCAGCAGCTCCGGCGGCAGCGCGTCCAGGGCTAAGGGCGGGTCCGCCGGCGTCCGCCTGCGCGAGGGCCGGGCGCCCATCTCCGGCGGCTGGGATCCTGCAGGTTGAAAGGAATGGGCAGGTTAGGAAAGTCTGGCCTTCTTCCACTTCCCCCAGTGCGCATGGTCCCTGCGGCTTGATCGTGACCCCACCCCTCCCGCAGCTTTAATGGACCACAGGGGAACAGCTACGGCCGCGAAAACCCGGCACTTAGTCCTTACCATCCTGCTCTGGAGGGCCAAAGGCTTTCCCTCTTGGCCAAAAGACTCCACCAGGACTGCTAACCACGGCTTCCATGCCTGGCTGCGCACTTGTATACATAAGCACTTTATATATATATGGCCATAAGCATACTGAAGATGGGCTAGAAAAACCACCTAGGATGAAACCATTTCCATCCCCACTCTTCAGGTCTTTGGCATTCATGAACTGTCAATCTCTTCACTGAACATTCTTGTCACCTTTTTTTTTTTTTTTTTAAATCAATCTCCACTGTTCATACTATCACACAGGCTCCCCGTTTCTTCCCCCCTCCACCAGGCTCCCACCCCACCCTCTGCCTCCTCATCCTCATCCATTGGTGCACAGTTTATGTTCAGTCTCTTCCTCCCTCCCTTTCCCCGACAGCAAATCCCTTTTCAGATAGCAAATCTGTTACTTAGCACTTTCTCACATCAATAATACCTCCACATGCCCAATGATACACTTCACACAAGAGACATTTCCAAATAGATCAACCAGCCTCATCCAGGCCCCACCCAAGGCACTCACAGATCAACACCCCAACACTATACTAACTCAACACATCCAGATATAAGCCTTCATCACTTGATTCAGCAGACCCTCAAGTTCCCGCAAAAGTTTCCAGCCATGTCTGAGAGGCAGCCATGGGGCAGGGGCAGGCGAGGAGCGAGCAGTTTTGGGCCAGGCTGCTCTGGGCCTGGCCTCTGTTGCTCTGGTTCGTTCCACAACCAGCTGCTCCGTGTCTGGTCACTGCCGCTCCCGACCCAGTTGCTCTGGACTTGGCTGCTGCTGCTCTGGGCCTGGCCGCACCCGACCCGGCTGCTCTGGGCCCAATTGCTACGGGCCTGGCAGCTCCGGGCCTGGCTGCTCCCAGCCTGGCAGCCGCTGCTCCGGGCCTGGCCACACCAGACCCAGCTGCTCCGGGCCTGGCCGCTCCCAGCCTGGCAGCCGCTGCTCCGGGCCTGGCCGCACCGGACCCGGCTGCTCCAGGCCTGGCCGCTCCCAGCCTGGCAGTCACTGCCCCAAGTCTGGTCACTGCCACTCCCGACCTAGTTGCTCTGGACTTGGCTGTTGCTGCTACAGGCCTGGCCACACCCGACCCGGCTGCTCTGGGCCCGGTTGCTCCGGGCCCGGCCACTCCGGGCCTGGCTGCTCCCAGCCTGTCAGCCGCTGCTCCGGGCCTGGCCGCACCAGACCCGGCTGCTCCGGGCCTGGCCGCTCCCAGCCTGGCAGCCGCTGCTCCGAGCCTGGCCACTCCCAGCCTGGCAGCCACTGCTCCGGGCCTGGCCGCACCAGACCCGGATGCTCCGGGCCTGGCCGCTCCCAGCCTGGCAGTCGCTGCTCCGGGTCTGGTCACTGCCGCTCCCGACCTAGTTGCTTTGGACTTGGCTGTTACTGTTACAGGCCTGGCCACACCTGACCCGGCTGCTCTGGGCCCGGTTGCTCCGGGCCCAGCCGTTCCGGGCCTGGCTGCTCCCAGCCTGTCAGCCGCTGCTCCGGGCCTGGCTGCACCAGACCTGGCTGCTCCGGGCCTGGCCGCTCCCAGCCTGGCAGCCACTGCTCCGAGCCTGGCTACTCCCAGCCTGGCAGCCATTGCTCCGGGCCTGGCAGCACCAGACTCGGCTGCTCCGGGCCTGGCCACTCCCATACTGGCAGTCGCTGCTCCAGGCCTGGCCGCACCAGACCCGGCTGCTCTGGGCCCGGTTGCCCCGGGCCCGGCTGCTCCGAGCCTGGCCGCACCCGGGCTGGATGCTTTGGGCTTGGCTTCTGCTGTTCTGGGCCTGGCTGCTCCCAACCCGGCTGCTCTGGGCCCGGCTTCTCCGGGCCCGGCCACTTCGGGTCTGGGTGTTCCTGGACTGGCCACCCTGGGCTTGGCCGCCTCTGCCTCAGGCCTGGCTGCCACTGCCCCAGGTCTGGCTGCTCCAGTGCTGGCCGTTGATGCTCTGGTTCTGGCTGCTGCTGCTCTGGGGCCTGGCCACTGCTGCTCTGGGCCCGGCTGCCACTGCCTTGTGCCTGGCCACTCTAGGCCTGGTCGCCGCTGTTCCAACATTCTGTCCCTCTTTCTTTCTTTCTTTATTTCTTTCTTTCTTTCTTTCTTTCTTTTTTTTTTAAAAACGCATTTATGTTTCAATGTTGGCTGGTGAGTTGAGTTCTGACTTAGTCTTTGATTTTTCAAGATATTCTTTGCATTCTTTCTTAAGTAATTTTACTATCATTTGCTCTCACTTGATTTCTTCACATTGAGAACTTCTATGGTTTCTTCCTCCCCGTCCTGGAATCTCAGCAGGTTGGCCTGTGGCACCCCTTTGTTCTCCGAGGGCTCCTGCGCTGCTTCAGCCTGTCGCCAGGGTTGGCGCCGCCCAGGAAGCATCCCCGGTCCTTGGCTCCGTTGCCTGCGCTCAGCGGTCGACGGCTCAGGGGCACCCCACCCTGGGGGCCCCGTTGCCGGGCTCCTTGCTGGCGCCCGGCTGGCCGATGTCCAGTGGGGGCTCCTGCTCCTCGTCGTGATCCTCCAGTCTGGAGCTTTCTTTCTCTCTCCCGCTAGGGGAGTCCAGGATCAGAGTCAACAGACTGTCCTCTGCGTGCAGTGTGCGCAACTCCGGGGGCTCGGCCTTTCGTTTTTCCCCTGGGATTCAGCCTCCCAGCCCCGTCTCCCCCTGCTGGAGCCTGGGTCCCCAGAATCTGGCCCATAATGGGGCTCAGCGCTGCCGGTTCGGGGGTTCAGCCCAGGCTGGGGGTTCTATTTCCTTCCTGCTAGGGAACGCCAGGCAGCATCCAGCCCTCTCCTCCTCTCCGGCTGTGACCTCTCGGTGCGCGCGTGCATGCGAGCGCGCAGCATGTCTCCGTACCTTAGGCTTTTTTCAGCTCCTCTGATTTTCCTTCTGGTTTTCTCCCACCTTCCTATTGTAGAGTTTTCAGTCAGTCGACTACCTGTAGGTCTGGGTAATGTCCACTCTACATTTTAGTTGTATTCCATTGAAATTGTTGTGAGCTGCTGCGGTTAGGTGTCTACCCGAGCAGCCATCTTGGATCCTCTCTCACCCTCTTCCTCTAACCAAAACCCGGCTCTCCCGTCGTCCTTCCTAGTGGGGAAATCTCCTTGCTCCTTGGTGCTGCTTCCAGTCAGTTCTCTTCCCCAACGTTCCAGCTCTGAGTCTTTTTTTTTTTTTTTAATATATATTTTATTGATTTTTTACAGAGAGAGAGAGAGGGACAGAGAGCTAGAAGCATCGATGAGAGTCATCGATCAGCTGCCTCTTGCACACCCCCCCACCGGGGATGTGCCCGCAACCACGGCACACGCCCTTGCCCTTTCAGTTCGCAGGCCGACGCTCTATCCACTGAGCCAAACCGGTCCCGGCAAGCTCTGAGTCTTATCATCAGAGTCGATGGTGCCCTCATTGGAAACGATCTGCTGGCCCACATCACTATTCCTCACTTCTCCGTGATTTTAGCTTCAGGTTCACTGCCACTCCCCCTGCTCCCAAATTCATTCTTGGTGACTTCCATATCCAGGGAGGTGATCCTTCTACCTCCCCTGCCTCTCTGACCTGCCATCCTCTCAGCCCCTCCCTCCGTGGTCACTCTGAGACCTTTCTCCATGGCACAGCCTTTAGAATTTCAATCTCAGGCATCTCCCTACACCCATCAGCTCTCCTTCCAGCTCTCTGCCTCCAGAGCCTCAAATCCCCACAATCCTTCCAAACATCTGTGATCTCCCATCCTAGGTGCCTATCTCCTTTTCACTTCCCCTCACTCCTCAAGTCCTCAGTTTTCCCTAATCATTTACAATACTTGCTTAATCATTAAAAACATTCTTTGCAGCCATGGCCAGTTCAGCTCAGTGAATAGAGGTCAGCCTGAGGTCTGGAGGGTCCTGGTTCTATTCTGGTCAAGGGCACATGCCTGAATTGCTGGCTTGATCCTCAGTGGGGGGCATGCAGGAGGCAGTTGATCAATGATTCTTTCTCATCATTGATGTTTCAATCTCTCTCCCCCTCTCCCTTCCTCTCTGTAATTAATCTACCTAATAAAAGAGTAACATGCTGCTGAAACTGGTTTGGCTCAGTGGTAGAGCGTCGGTCTGCGGACTGAAGGGTCCCGGGTTCGATTCCGGTCAAGGGCATGTACATTGGTTGCGGGCACATCCCTGGTAGGGGGTGTGCAAGAGGCAGCTGGTCGATGTTACTCTCTCATCGACGTTTCTGGCTCTCTGTCTCTCTCCCTTCCTCTCTGTAAAAAGATCAATAAAATATATTAAAAAAAAAAAAAAAAGAGTAACATGCTAATTGACCATACCTTTGTGACACTCACCAGCCCATCAGGAGTACATATGCAAATTAACCCAACAAAGATGGCATATTAACTTGCATATGCAGGCGAGTGGCCTCGGTGGGACCCTTGCATCGTCACCATGGTGATGACGCAGGCGTTCTGCACCACCCCAGCTGCTCCAGGCCTCTGGGCAGCATGGGAAGGCGGAAAGGCAGCTCTGGGCCAGAGCGAAGGCAGTGCCAGCAGCCAGGAGAAGGAAGGCCAATTCTTGTACGAATCTCATGCATCAGGCCTCTAGTATAAATATATTAAAACAAACAAACAAAAACATTCTTTGCATACACCCTTCCTCCTCTGGCTTCCTCTTACATGTGACCCTGTTTAAATTCAGCCCTCCACCTACCCTGTGCCTGTACCCACAGTTTAAAGTGGCTAAAGAACAATGCATAACGACTGGCTGGTCACACTTCAAATCTATGAACTTGACCCTCAAACCCTTAAGGCTGCCTGGCAATAAGATTATGTTTCTCTTATCCACTTCCTATAAATAACTATTTCATATCTTCTCCCATCTCCTATCCCATCACTCCTTCCACTCTTCACTCTCTCCTTGCTTCTTATTTTGCAGAAATAAAAAGTGATGAGAAGCAAACTTCCACAGGCCTGCACTGCCCCATCCGCCACCTGCCTGCCCTGGGCCCACAGTGTCTGCTCTTGTGTATGTCTAC